CTCTATGGTGCTAGATGGAACCTAGCACTATACTTTTTTTTTTCTTTAATCGTGTCGTATTTACACTAAAAAGTTACACTGTTGTAACAATCCTTACGTTTTATTCTCGTTAATTACTTAGCTCTAGAGGAGACCGTAAAAATAACTTCTGATCCTAAACGTAAGGTCAGCGATCTTGAGCAGATCCTCTCTTTCTTTCTTTCAGTTTTTTTTCTCTTTCTTTCTCAATATATCCTTGCACCATTTTTTTTTCTTTCTTTTATTTTACTTTAAAAGCACGGTGTTTTGCAGGCCACCGCGTGACCCAGTTCCCCGTCAATTGCGTTTCTATAACGAGCACATACCGTCGCATCCCTAATTATGAAGGATAATCATTAGAATGTATAAATACAATTACACCTAAGGGCGTGATCCACGTGCAGCTTCTTCCAGTGCGCGAACTTTAAGCTCACGCTCGCGCTGTTGTCTAAAAAACACCCTTTGTTAGTCCGATACACACTGGTCGTCTAATCAAGCTAACAGTTTGTAAGCTTTGCTATAGATTTCAAAGGACGAACCTTAGATACTCCTCGTGATGTATAAGGGATGCATGAGGAGGAAATCGATCGCGTTCCATCATGAGATGACGCTGTAACTGCTCGTGATGCGCTGCCATATCCGCGTACGGTCTTCCGAGAAGTTCCGCGGGATGAAGAGCCAATGCTGGGTCACGGGGCATTAAGCCTGGTCGAGGATAATTTGCACCAGCTGCCGCTGTACACATAGAAAACATTAGTAAACAGTAAAGAGACGATAATCTTTGCCTTTATAGGATATGTCAAGCCTTTGAAAAATTTATGGATAGACAGACATGCATGATTTGAGAAGCGTGAGATTTGTTGGACGATATTTGCTTTCGAATGTCGCTGCACTGTAACAGCCCCCCCCCCCCCCCCCATTCTCTCTTTCTCTCTCTCGCGCACACACACATACATACACACACACACACTTTCCCTTTCTCTCTCGAAATCTGTCCAAAATCACTTGACTGCTTCGAGAGCCACTTTCTTCGCTATCGATAACATTACAAACGCACTCTTTATTTCAATCTTACATTTAATCCTTGCGAGGTAACACATAAATAGCATTCTTGTCTGACATCTAGAAACAAAGTTTTCTGGTTGACAATAAGTATTAGTTTACAACATTAACACCAAGTACAAAGTTTCCTCTCGAGGAGATAAATATAGATTTAATATGGATACCTTTCACATGTTCACGCTTGCTGTCTTTAAGATAAACGATACTTACATATATGTATATAATTAAAGTCAGAAGGTATACAATAAGCAAGGTAAATTATAATGATTAATGTTTACTCCACGATGGTCTTGAATGGCCAATTGATTTTGGACAGGCTATAACATTAATGATGATATGTTACAATAGGATATGATAACAAAAACATACAGATGTTATGTTGCTGTAATGTTGATAAATTATGCTGGTAATGTGCAGTTTCCAAAGGGAATCGTCAAATGGATAATATAACATGAAAATATTTTGTGCAGCATACAGACATATCATATCGTTCCCATTCACGCACGTACCACGCATACAATCATTGCATTTTACTTAAAAGGTAAATTCACGCTATTAAAAACTCATAGAATCTTTATTGATGGATCGTACCTTCACCCAGAAGCTGCGCTCGATGATCGAAAAAGCTCTAGTGCCAAGTTATTAATAATGGCATAGCGAGAAAAGCGACAGAAAAATGCAAAAAAAAAAAAAAAAAATTTTTTTTTTGCCGCAGAGAAAAATTTGTTCGTTTCTCTATCACTTTTTGTAAAAAGGTAAGCTTTTGGCGGTAGTTAGGATGCTCTCCGTTTAAAAGTTAGAGTGACTGATATATTAAACTTGTAAAGCACTTGTTACAGTACGCTTACACGCAATCGACCGCTTTACCGATCACAGACTCGTTAACAACTGATCGAAAAAGAATCAAAATGGACAATGATACTAAAAAAAAAAAAAAAAACTCGAATTATTCAGAAAGTAGTAACTTTATGAATAAACATTTAAAAGAAAACAGAGCTACTTCAAATTTTTTAGATCTAATTCTTAAAAAACTCAACGCTTATTCTTATCATACATAACCCAAACTCTCGAAAAGTTCACCACAGAAACAGCTATATGAATTTCCCTATCGGCTGGTACCGATACACAATTTATATTAGTCTCGATCACAGAACTATCCATCCTACGTCTAAAGTATAAAACGAACAGCTAATGAGCATGTGAAAATTTCTAATCGTAAAATCATCGAGATACCAAGGAAGTACTAGAGAAAATGCTTAATATCTACAGTCTTTTTGCACAAAGTGTCTTAATTTCAACGTCGATAATGATCTTTATCGGAGCTTTAAGATACAGATAGTCAGTGAAAGGAGCGATCATCGTGCGGGAGCGTACTCAAACATCCTGATTTGTAGGACCTACCAGGCAGGGGGAATCCAGCTGCAGCCGCAGCCGCTTCCTGCTGTTGCTGAGCCTGTTGCTGGGCCTGCTGCTGTCCCGGATGTAAGTGTAAGTGCGTATGCGCATGCGTATGCGCGTGAGTGTGAGCATGATACTCGGGCGAAATGCCAGCCATCTGCAACCGGACCATCGGGTCAGCAGCTAGAGCCAGTCGCTCGTCCAGCTGGCCGTGGTGATGAGCCGCCACGGGATGGCCAGCCCCTGCACCCGCTGGCCCCCCGCCGGCTGCAGTCGGTATCCCTAAACCCGACAGCGC